TATAGTGAAGATTTTAAGAAATTTAATTGGCCAATTCGCTATAACAAGAGTATTTTTATTATATTTGTTTAAAAAATTTGCTAAGAGTTCACTATAATAAAATAAATTTATTAACTAAAATTTATAAAATTTTTTATAATTTAAAAATAAAAAAATTTTATTATTTAGGTAACAAATATTGGAAAAATAAATCAAAATAATGAAAAATTTGAAATAATTATATTTACAAGAAATACTTTAATTAAAAATATTAGATACTTTTTAGTTATAATTAAATATCTACTAATTTTAGATAAAAAAATATATATATATTTTATATGAAAAGTTAAACAAATTCTAAAGCAGCATTTTGTAATGTAAGTTTTGAATTGATTAAATTTTTATAAAAAAAATTAATTAAAAATTAATATTTGTTAAAAATAGATTTAAATTTATTTTGTAAATAAAGTGATAATAAAAAAAAAATTTAAATTTAGCAATTTAATAATATATTTGAATAGTTTTAAGTATATAATTTTGAAAATTATTGACAAAATGCTAAAAAATAGATTTAAAATAAATTTAATAATGAAAGAAAATAAAATATTTTTAATATTTATCTTGACATTATATTTAAATAGTTAAAAAGTTATAAATTGATTGTAATAAGCTCATAAATTAGATTTTAAATTAATGAAAAAAGAGTAAAAACTATTAAAGTATCAATTAATTTAGAAAGAATTTTTATAAAATTATTATTAATAAAGGATTTATTAGCTATATAGCTGATTAATAAAAATTCTTTATTTTTATTTATATAATTTTAAAGCTCTAAACGTATTAGATCAGATTGGATTACAGATTAGGTTATATCAAAAAAAATTGAAAAAGGTTTTTGAAATATCTTATATTTAATGATTAATATATATAGTAAAATTTAATAAGCTATATCTCAGTAATTAGTAATTTAAATTAAAATATAGCTTATTTGATTTATCTCTATAAGAAAAATTGAATGGATTTTTTTAATGATATGGTACTGTTATAAGTTTATTAAATTTATATTATAATTATTATAAATAAAAATCAAAAAAATAAAATTAAAAGTAAAAAACAATAAAACTAAACTATGACTATTCCTGTAATTTTATTATAAACCTATCAATCACTGCAGAAAGAAATTAATTGATACTTATTTTATTTCAAATGGATTGATATTGATGGAATTAAAAAAAAATTCAGGTCAGATTAGATTTGATCAACTGTCTAACCTAACCCAAATTTTTCAGGTTAATCTGTTAAGTTACTTAACTCATCATATCAGATTCAGAGCTCTATATAATTCTATTAATATCAGACCTTTTTAATCAGAAATTTTATTTAATTTTATAAGAGCTAACCTTTTATTTATTTGTTAAATTATAAACAATAATATATTAATTGAAGTTTATAATAAAATAACAGTTAAAACATTTATATATCTTTACATCTTGCTTGAATATTATTGTAACTATAGACTATTGTATTTCTTTCAGTATTATTTACTTAAAAGGATAAATGTGTTATTAGTTAAATTAGTACTCTAATTGTTATTAATATATCATATGGAAGGATTCTAGGAAAATCAGATTCTGACTAAAATTAAGAGCTTAATGCATTTTAATCTAATAACATCAAAAACTAAAATGCAATAAAAATCTCAATTTTGTTAAAAAATTCCCGGAACCTGATTTTCCTAGCAATTAACCCATATTATATATTTAATTCAATTATATATTGTTATTTTTATTATGCAGAACTGGTGATTAAATGATTTGGTTTCCAATCAATCAAATAATTTAAAGCTGTTAAAGCTTTGAATTGTGAAAAACTGCCTAACAACTGAAAGTAGTATATGATAATTTGATTCTGCTGAACTCTAATTACCAGAAAATAATGATAATTTAGAAAAATTAAATAAAATTTTTCTGCTAAAGCGAGTATAATAAAAGATGCAAATTTTCATCATATTATTGATACTATTATAGGAAGATAAAGATTCAACTCCGATAGTGAATTTGGTAAATTATAATAGGGCGAGCAATTAGTAAGCGGGTAATACATTATTAAACTAGGATTTAAATAACTAAAACAAAGCATTCATCGTTCGTTTTTGAAAATAAATGTCATCCCTTTATGTTTCACATACATTCAATGTAAACCTGCAGGAAATCCTAAATGATATATTTTTTTTTGGAAATTATTTTTCAACTAATAAAAAGCTGCCAAATAATCTGCTCGATTTATTAACAATTTCATACCTTTTGGTGAAACTTCTTGTTCTAAGTTTTTAATTTAAGATCATTATTTCAGTATGTACGCACAACCACCTCCACCAAACGCACAACAACCACCACATCGTCCTCCTGTCTCGAAACCTCCGCAATCCCAACCTCTCGATCCTCGACCTGCAGCCTCACCTACCCAACCAAATTTTCCTGGTTGGAGACCTGGGCCAAATGCGCAGCAAGTCCGTCCTTTGCCTCACGGGGTTCCTTCAAATGCAAGACCTCCTACATTTATTCCTGACCAGCGACCACCTCCAAATGTTGGTTTTCCAAGACCACCACCTACAGGTTATTATTTTTATTTAATAAAATAGCATTGAATGTGAAACTTATTGTTTTTATAATTTTTCTTTGTTCAAATCATCTTCGAGTTGCGAGGATATATGCACCGTAAATAGTATAATTTAATCAAATTACGATCCGATTTGAAATAATTCAAGTCAATTTTTTATTACCCTAACGGTTCTATTTAATTGAAATTTCTTAATAATGATGACACTTACTATCGATGATTTTCATAATTAGGAACAAGACCTATGTCACCCAGACAAGGTCAGATGATTATGCCTTCATCTCAGCCGGTACAGATTAATTCTACTACTGGTGTAGCGGGAATGAAGCCTCCTTCACAAGTTAATTCCGGTCAAATTCAAACAACAATTCCTCCATCTTCACTGGGAACATCACAATATCCTAGACCTCAAGGACCTCCAATCGCGACGCGTCCACAACAAGAATCAGATGTGAATAATATTGTTTCTCAGATGTCAAATATAGGGATTCATCAAAATTTACCTAGCCAACATCCGAATCAACATCCGAATCAATTTGATGTAATGTATTTTATCAGACCAAACCTTCTTTTTGCTTAATATATGCAAAATTTTCAATATTTATTGCTGACTAAATTTTTTTAATATATAGCAAAGTGCAAAGCTTAATAAACAAACTCGTTCTAAACGTGTTCATCATCTTAGTTCCGACCTCAATTCTTCAACATATAATTCTTCATCTCAAAATATATATCCTCAACCGCCCATTAATGAAGCACAACCTGTGCAACAGCAACAACCAATATTTTCTCCAATGGTTCCACAGCCACCTCAACCTGGCCAACACAATGTGCAGCCTATGCTAAATCAGCCTCAATATATGCAACCACCTCCAGTTCCCGGCCCTCAACCCCCTCAACCACCTTCCATGGCACGTCCTGCGGGCCCAAATGTTCCTCGTTCTAAAATTGATCCTAACCAAATTCCTTCACCGGTTGCTGTTCAAGAACAGGATCAAGAGCTTTATGATGAAAAACCTTATATGACATGTACTAAAACAATACCCCTTGCAAGTACCGATTTTAAAGCTGTTGACGAAGGTATTTATCAATGTTAGATCTAGCCATACGCAATAGAAAATATTTTATTAATGATATTATGCCCGTCACTTTTAGGCAATTCAAATCCTCGATTCATGAGATTGACATTATATTCCATACCGAATACTGAAGATCTACTTCAAACATCTCATTTGCCTCTTGGCGTTATTTTACAACCTATGGCTAAATTAAGAAATGATGAGGTTTTTTTTATAGATAAACAAATTTTAAAATCTTTTAGTCAATTTACATTTTTAATAACAAAGATTCCCTTTGCTTTAGTCTCCTATTGAGTTAGTTGATTTTCAAGAAAATGGTCCAATTCGATGTCTTCGCTGTAAGGCTTATATCAACCCTTTCGTTATTTTTGTGGAAGGTGGACAAAAATATATATGTAATATGTGCTTATTTTCAAATGAAGGTTCGATAATTATTTTATGATATTTATGTTTTCGTCTTCTATTATTGAAATAATTGAGTTAAATTTTTTTTTGAATATAATTTATTTTAATAGTTCCGCCAGAATATTTTTGTCATTTAGACATGAATGGACGTCGTGCTGACATAGACCAAAGACCGGAATTAAAATACGGAACGGTAGAATTTACTGCTCCGGAGGTATTAATAACAACGATATGACTTAATTTATTTTATAATTATTATTATTATTATTTTTTTTTGACAACATTAGCATATGAAAATAAATCATATGATCCTTTGTGAAAATTTTAGGAATATTGGGCTAGACCTCCGGCTCCTTTATCATATGTTTTTGCTATTGATGTTTCATGGAATTCTATTAAAAGTGGAATGCTTGCAAAGTGTGTAGAAACTATTAGATATATATTGTATAATTCAGAAAGTATACCAACAGAATGTAAAGTCGGTATTGTTACTTTTGACAAAGACGTCCATTTTTATAATCTGCAGGTATTTATTTATATTTCAGTTTTTTTTTAAAAAAATCAGATTGCAAATTCAAATTAATTGATACGATTATTAATTTATGTAGTCTCAACTTGAACAAGCACAAATGCTTGTTGTTTCTGATGTTAACGATGTGTTTGTTCCACTAAATTCCGGACTTTTGGTTGACCCAATTGAATCTAGGTGAGGATTAACGAAATAACCATTTAGTCAAAATAATTAAGTTCAATAAGTCATCATTTTTTATACATTAAATCTGAAGAACTGTTATAGAAGCACTTTTGGAATCATTACCAATGATGTTCGCTGAGAATAAGGTCATAGAACCCGTATTAGGTGCTGTTGTTGAAGCAGCGCACATGGCTTTGGTATGGTTTGCGGAAATATATATATTATAAACTTTATGTATTTATTATAATGTAACTTAAGTGAGAATCTTTATTGATTAGAATTCGAATGGTGGGAAATTAATAATTTTCCAAACTTCCCTTCCAACATTTGGCCCTGGTTCAATTAAACATCGTGAGGATCCGAAATTATATAATACTGATAAAGAGAGGTCTTTATTTGGACCTCAAGATAGTTACTATAAAAATTTGGCGATTAATTGCGTCGATTCTGGGATTTGTATCGATCTATTCCTTTTCCCCAATACATATACTGACATTGCAACCATAGGTAAGTTTATTATAAAAAGACGTCTTATATTATGATTTTCTCCATATTAATTAAATTATGCTTGTATTCCCGAAAATGCGATTTTAGGATTATTGTCATGTTTAACTGGTGGCGAAACTTACTATTATCCCAATTTTGAAGTTCAAAGAGATGGTGAAAAATTTGCATTTGAATTACATCAAAATATCACACGAGAATTTGGTTATAATGCACTAATGAGAATTCGATGCTCGAATGGTAATTTAAAATTATATGATCAGAATTATTTTTTTAAGTTATAAATAAATTATTGCTATCCTTCTGTAATAAAAATATTGATCTTAATTGTTTTTCTAGGCTTAAGAGTTGAAGAACATTTTGGTAATTTCAATATGCGTAATACAACCGATATTGAACTTGCAGGTATTGATAGCGATAAAGCATTTGGTGCTTTACTTAAATATGATAGCAAACTCGACGAGAAAACGGAAGCATATGTTCAATGTGCGCTTCTATATACAACTTCAACTGGACAACGTCGAGTACGGACGCATAATTTGAGTGTCACAGTTACAACATTGCTCGGCAACGTTTTTCGACATGCCGAAATGGATACTACAGTCAACTTTCTGGCGAAGCAAGGTGCGTACTAATATAATTGAATTTTTATTGCGCTCTTATCCTTAAAATAAATATCTCTACTATTAATATTTAGCTGTATCGAACACAATTACCAAGCCACTGCGTGATATTCGTGATCAAATAACCGATAAATGCGTCAAAATCCTAATGTCGTATCGAAGGCACTGTGCTTCTTCAAGTTCTCCAGGACAACTCATTTTACCAGAAGCATTTAAATTATTTCCATTATATGCTTTAACAATGTTAAAATCTAAAGCACTTCGTGGTGGTAAGCATATTTATATGTTAAATATTATTATTTAATTATTTAATTATTTACTATGAAATTTATAGGTGCTAACCTTACGAGTGATGCCCGAGTACATTGTATGCGTCTTATTAAAAGCATAGGTGTTACAGAGAGCATTGTATTTTTTTATCCTCGGCTCATTCCTGTTCATAATCTATCGGAACAGGCAAGAGATAATTTTAAGTGAACCCTTTAAGAGATATACCACAACTCTAACAAATAATATTGTATTTTCTAGGTTGGAATTGCTAATGAACATGGCAAAGTAAAATTGCCCCCTTTAATACGAGTGTCATATGCTAGGCTCGAAAATGAAGGAGCATATTTATTAGGTTGGTTTTAGAACCATTTCTTTATTTTATTTTAATCTTTATTTACTAGCGTTTTTTCATTAGAAAATGGTCAAATTTTGATTTTTTGGCTTGGACGGCAATTATCGTCTGAATTTATACGTAATGTTTTTGGGGTCGATACAATCGAGCAGATTGATCCAAAGCTTGTATGTATATTATTAATTTACAAAAATATTAATAAAATATATTATTTTATATATGATAAAAAAAAATAACAATCATCTAAAAATTTTTTACAGTCCTCTCTTCCTGAGCTCAAGAATAATACATCGATACAAATTCGATCCATCATAAATTATCTTCAATTGCAAAGATCAAAATATTTGCGGTTAACAATTGCAAGAATGCAAATAGATGCAACTGAAATCGAGTTTCATAACCTGCTAGTTGAAGATGAAAACAACGGGGCCATGTCATATGTTGATTATCTCTGTTTTATTCACAAACAAATTCAAATGGAGGTTAATATGAGTGATTAATTTAAAATTATGATCGACATATAAAATCCAAAAATGTATACTTTTTTTTTATATTGTATAATATTTAGATATTTTTGGGATAATTTAAAAATATTAATTATATATATATATATTTTTTTTTTTTATTAAAAAAAAATAATCCGTTTTAACCAAAGAGATATGAATTCAAAATATTTATTAAAGATAATAAACAAAAAAATGTATTGTTTTATTTAGATAACCATTATTATTAAAAATGTAGTCCATTACATAAAAAAAAAGGTCTTAAAAATTGAGTTGCATTTTACCCATGAGCTTTTTTCTACAGTTATTCTTGTTTGGAAACTTGAATAATTTTTTTACGTGATGAGATCACAAAACACTTATGATATTACACCACATTTGATTTTGAAAAGATCTTTCCATTTTAGAAGCACGTGTAAATACTCGTGTTGTTAATTCAAACATCTTTTTTGAATTTTTTTATAACCCAAATCTATGTCAACTTTAATTATTATGTTCAATGAGATCATTTCTATTCTTTAAAGCCACACGTTAACCAATCAACCAGAGTATCAACAATATTACGCAGTAACGATTTACATTTGATGTTAAAAAGTATGATCATCATTCATGGGAAGTTTTTTTATTTACGATTTAGTGCAAATCGTCAAAAGATATCATTGTGGGGAAAACTTTGCAAATGTTCGAAATCAAAAAAAAAAAAAAAAAATCCCACACCTTTTGATACATCGTTATCAGTAACCCCTTAAATAAATTTTACTTTTTCGGGATAATTTGGAAGAATAAAAAGAGTAAAGAGTTGATTTACTCGGCAGAAACAGGAAAAATTCTAAATTATATTTCATATGTTTGGGATTTATTTATAGATTTCACGCAGGGTTTCATTTGTTTTTATAAATAAATAATTAGGTATTATGATATCACTCATTTATTGGTTTATATAGTTAATGAAAAATACTTTTCTTCTTTTTTCGTTTCTTCCCTCCAATATACCCCACCCCACATACATGAAAAGAATCAAGTCACGAAGGAAAGGAGGGGTGTGTGCTTCCTTGCGGCTATGCATATAATAGACCAAATATCATACGCTAAATTTCCTCCCAGTCGATGCTTTCACATTTTCAAATAACTAAATGAAAGATCATCGTCTCATCGTTATTATCAACATATGAAAGTCAAAATACTTTTTTTGTGCAACAAAACTTTAATAACAACACCAGTTGAAATTACAGCAACATATGACTGTAGAAACATTTTGATTTTTTTTTCAAGGGTACCATCTATTTTGCGTAACATCTGCTGGTCAGTGCGCCTTTAAATAACATCGAATTTTCCGCGTCATAAACTTACTCTCATCCTTATTATTACATATCAAAGATATCAAAGGAACATCGAATTGGTTAATTTTCATAATTATTTAGTAGCTCATTGAAAGAAAAATTTTTTTTTTTTTTTATAAAATGAAATCATAAAAAGGACAAAAAAAAAAAAATTAAGGGGATACAGATAAGTTATTTTCTATCGACATTCCAAAAGTTAAAAAAAATTTTTTTGCTTACTAAACTGAAAAAAGAAAAAAAAGGGCTTGTTGTTTTTTTTTTCGGGATAATTGAACCTTTTATCTTTATTTCACATGCATATTGTTGGCTGAATCAAATGTATTATTATAAATTGTTTTAAAGTAAATGAATAATTCTATTTCTAAGATATTGTACTTAATACATAATATGTTTTATTAAAAAAAAAAAAAAAAAAAAATAAATAAATATAAATAAATAAATAAATATGATACAGATAAATGTTTGAAAATCACCTGAAAACCGAAATATATCCCCCTTTTATAAAAAAAAATTTATAATAATAACATATATATTATATTATATATATATAATATAATTACTTTCATTGTTGTATTAAACGATTTAATTTCCTTCCCTAATTGATTGAATAATTCTTATATATATATATTTTTAATCTTCCTTGAGGGAGAGTATAAGGTGGTTCCTTTTTTTTTTTTTTTTTTTTTTTTTTTTTTTTTTTTTGCGCGACAAGCTTTATCAACTTCAAATAAACGAGACGAAATTAACGAGTAAAATATGTCGAAAGCTTCAAACGGTACCTCAGCCTACGCGTCTGATGACTATTCTGAAGACAATAAATCTAATTCTTCTGCTTCAGAATCTTCTTTTGAAGAGGAATTAAAGAGTAGCAACGACCATACAGAAGTAGAAAGTTTGGAAAGATTTAACGAATCCAATGGAAAAACCTCAGCATTGGTATCGACGCTATTCGATATACCCATAGTTAATCACTCTTACCAAACTGTGAAGACATATAAATTCGGTCGTATGACTATCGATTTTGCTGATGCTGGTGCGCGTAAAGTTACCGAATTTGTTCCCGAAAAGTTTAACGACCACATTGAAAAGGCAGACAGGATTGCCGCCGAATCCGTCCAACGTTTTAGTACGATTATAACGCAACCTACTGATAAAATCTTTAGAACCGTTAGTTGCACGATTGAAAATAATATTACTAATCCGGGAAGTCGTTTTGTTGCCAACTTTGATTCTCGACTCGCTCCTTTTGTCGACGTATTTGAAGATTTACTTCAAAAAGTGATCCCTGATGAAAATGCTCATACCAGTAGAGATATTCAGAATGATCAACAACTTGAGCAATTGAGTCAAACGCTCAGATGTTTCCAAATTGCTTTTGATACAAGTAATCGATGTGTTGAAAAAGTAAAGAAACAACTTACTACCGTTCAGAATCCTGATATTGCGGTTACTCTTCATGCTCATTTGCAAAGTATCTCTACCGTGATTCTTGGTTTTCTAAACAAGGATGAGGATCTTCCGAGTGCTGTACAAGCAAGAATCATTGAGTTATCAACTGCTCTTTTGGCTGTAACTGATACTATTTCCAATTATGTCAAATTAAATGCTGAACATTTTCCTGAATATCTTCCCGAGTATCTTCAAGAACGTCTCAAGCCATTGGTAGTCTTTTTTGGACAAGGTTACGTTGAAATTGTCAATGAAATTAAGAATGGTGAAGGCAGTCCTCTTGATAAAGCAAAAAATATTGTCCAACTAACCACAAACCATACTCTACCTTTACTTCGCGGTTCTCTCTCTGATTTACAAGAAGCGTTTCAGTGGTATAAGAACTCATTGAACACATCATTCCACAACACTACGGAAACATTTATGAATAAATTGAATCAAACAACACAAATTCTTAACGTTAAATAAATTATAATCTAATTTTTGTAATAACGATAATTTCGAATCATCGTAGTGAATTGAAGAGTTGAAGGGTTGGGTTTGCGATCAACTTTTTTGTTCTTTTTTTATTTTTCCCTCTCTTTCTCTCTGTAGATTAAATAATTTTTAAAAGGGAATTGCATTTTTTTTTTTTTCCAGAATATCATATTTTGTTCTAGAAATTAAATTCTTTTTATTTTACTTATTGATGTTATCTTATTTGGTATCAATTCTTATCCTATTTTTTTTTTCTTTAAAAATTAAAACATTATTTGATCATTAATCAACAATTTAAATAAATAATAAACTTATATTTGTTATTCTTTTTTTAATAGTTCATTTTAACTATATTATAGCCGACAATTCTTCAAATTCATCTGTAATCAATAACTTGATATCTATATAGCTATTTAGTCTTTTTTTTTTTTTTTTTTTAATGCGTCTTTATAAATACAAAAGAAAAGTCTCTAATTAAAAAAAAATAATAACATTCGATTACATGAAATAATTTTTTTTTTTTTTAAAAAAAAAATGTAGTAAAATAAGTAAATACGATCTATTATCTATGTGTGTATAATATATATGAGTTCTCATACTTCAAGTTTTCTTTTTCTCAGAATATTTCCAATGTAAAATTCACCCGCCTTATAACTACTTCTCACTAGAGGTCCTGACGCAGTATATAAAAATCCCAAATCATCACCAACTTTAGCCCAATAATCAAATTTTTCGGGTTTAACGTACTCGTGAACTTTCATATGCCTTTTTGTGGGTCTCATATATTGACCCAAAGTAACGCAATCAACATGAATCTTACGTAATTCTTTCATCGCATCTAGAACTTCCTCATCTGTTTCGCCAACACCAAGCATTATGCTAGTTTTCGTAATCAAACTTGGTTGTATTTTTTTTACATGTTCTAGTACATTTAAGCTTTGTTTAAATGTCGCTCTTCGATCTCTTACATATGGAGTCAAAGCTTCAACTGTTTCAATGTTATGGGCGTATACATCTAGACCAGAAGATGCGACTTTTGTCACATCATCAAGGTCTCCCTGAAAATCCCCAGTAAGACATTCTACAAGAATGTGTGGTGCCCTAAAAACAAAAAAAAAAAAAAAAGAAAACATTGAGTTGATGATATTATTATATATGAATGAAATAAGAATATAAGTTAACGTTACTTTTTTTTGAGTAAGC